TCAAGGGAAAACTTGTACCAACCAAAACCTAATTCCATACCCAATTTTATAGAGTGCCCTAAAAATGACCAATTTCAACCCCCTTTGAAAATTGTTTGCCTGAAAAGTTAGGGGATTTAACGCCCTCGAGGGTTAAAAATGGTCATTGCAACGGTACTCCGAAAATGAGGGGGGTTTTAAACTACTGCAGGTTATGAATGACGGGAAACAATTGCCAGCAAGGCCGGACTCAGTATATTCCTTTTTTAGATGTTACAAGAGTTTCGGCATGGTGCAGTTAGATGCTATAATGATCATATTTCTTCTTCTCGGATTGTTTTTTAACATTTGGCTGTCGTGGTAACATTTTTTGTCTCTGCCCATGATGATCTTGTATATGAGTTAGCTTTATCCCCAGCTTGACCAAAAATGCTAATTATACAGTTTTCAGATGCTAAAGATAGACTTTTCTTGCAATTCCATTCCGGTCATTTAAACTTAAGTTTGAATTTTTAGTATAAAAACTTTTGCCCAACATTAACACTTTTTTCGCCTAATATAGTTTTCGCCTATTGTTTATATCCTGCCCATGTACTAGTACCTTTTTATTGGAGGAATTAGCTTAAGTAAGCGCCATGATGTTTGTTTGGTTGAGATGATTCTCACCTAATCAAATTAAAAAGGGCTTTTACTGAAAAGAAATATGAAAAAAACTTTACCAGAAATTGTTTTAAGACATCGCGGCAAGGGGTCAATGCGCTCGAATATGTTACGTTTTTGTTCACAAGGTTGCTCGCTCTCCATGACTCGTAAGCACCACTCTCATGAAGATGGTGAGGGTTGTAGGATTTGCGACGAGGAAATTTCCGTAGCTAACGAAAAATTATTGGAACATGATCATTTCGATGGATCATTCCTTGGATGGGCTCACAACAATTGCAACAACTTGAGACGTACCACACCATTTACCCCTGTATTTGCCGAAAATCTTCAGAAGTATGATTTTCATAATCCATGTACTGAAGAGACTGCAAAAGACCAATACCAGATACATCTTTTCGATCATTACACTCAAAGACCAAAAAAAATTTCACTTACAATGAAAATGTGGATGAGATCCTATACTAATGAAAAAGGAAATTTCCGTAAAATCTACGAAGAAATCCGTTTTGTGGACAGCTGTAAAATTTATGTATAGCTCAAAAGATGGACTGGCTTGGAAGCTACCCGTGGATAAGTTCATATATCACAATAACCACTTTGCTACCTGACCGGAAGAAGATAAAGCATTGTTTCGAAAAAAAGGTTACTTCCACTACTGTTATGTTGACAGCCATACAAAAAACACAGGAGGTGGACTACCTGCTCGGGACAAGTGGACACCAACACGCTGCAATGAGGTGCTGCTAGTGTCAGTGAAAAAGAATACCAACATGCATGGTTAGTGTACGCTCGTTTCGGTTGTCAGACGTTGGCCGAATACACTGATTTGTATCTAACGACCGATACCTTGATTCTTGCATGCGTATTTGCAGAGTTAAGGCGAGTGTGTTATGAAACAATTAGGCAATATTGTGCTCAATATCTCACGGCTAGCAATATCTCAGGGGATGCATTTTTCCGAAGATGCAAGGCTGACCTCCATTTGCTCACTAATAGGGAGCTCTTGGACATGGCAGAAAATCTGATCAAGTGAGTCATTGCCGTTGTTTTTGAAAATTTCTGCCAAAATCAATTTGACAAAAATTACCTGCTCGGGATAAGTGGACACCAACACGCTGTCATTACACTCAAAGACGAAAAAAAAATTCACTTACAATGAAAATGTAGATGAGATCGTAAGCTAATGAAATAGGAAATTTCCGTAAAATCTACGAAGAAATTCGTTTTGTGGACAGCTGTAAAATTTATGTACAGCTCAAAAGATGGACTGGCTTGGAAGCTACCCGTGGACAAGTTCATCTACCTCAATAACCACTTTGCTACCTGACCGGAAGAAGATAAAGCATTGTTTCGAAAAAAAGGTTACTTCCACTACTGTTATGTTGACAGCCATACAAAATACACAGGAGGTGGACTACCTGCTCGGGACAAGTGGACACCAAGGCGAGTGTGTTATGAAACAATTAGGCAAAATTGTGCTCAATATCTCACGGCTAGAAAAATCTCAGGGGATGCATTTTTCCGAAGATGCAAGGCTGACCTCCATTTGCTCACTAATAGGGAGCTCTTGGACATGACAGAAAATCTGACCAAGTGAGTCATTCCCATTGTTTTTGAAAATTTCTGCCAAAATCAATTTGACAAAAATTACGACCCTAAACAGCCGAGCACCTTCCTGTTCATGATAAGAACGAATAAATTATATGGCGGGATTATGGAGAAGTTTTCGTCTTCCCTTTGACTAAGTCGAGTTTAATGAAAACTAACTATAGCCGAAATTCTCAAACGAGCAGAGACTCCAACAGCGTATACCTTTTCGATGTGAATTTTTTCTACCCCGATCATCTGCACGATGCTCCTTCGGCTTACCCACTTGCCCCTACAAAACAAGTTGGGTCCAATATGTGGCTCAGTGAGCTTCAATTGAACATTTGAAAAAAAAATGAAGCACGACAAAGCTATTCCCAAAGAAAACTATACTATAAACTGCTTAACGCTTCAGCTTGAATTCAAAATTGTTTTGAAAATTGAAAATTAAATCAAGTGCTGCAGTTTAAAAAAAAAATTTATCGCACCTTATCTTCAGTTAAACACTAGGCTCCAAAAAAGCTACTACCATAAAGATCTGCAATTTCCATCAACGAAATAAAAAAGTTTAGCAAGGTAAAAATTATTGACGAACAGTTGGTATCTGTAACCTCAAAATCTATGAATATTAATTAGCATAAGCCCACAATTGCCGGTTCAATAATACCAGATTTGGCCAATTTTTACATGATTCAGTTCCCTTACAAAATAATCAAGTAAAATTTCGACGCAACCTTTTTATATTCGGACACTGAATCGTTCCTGTACGAAATCCACAGCGATGATATCTACAATGAAATCAAGAAAAAACCATGAGCATCATAATCAATTGGATTTTTAAATTTTACCAGCCACCCGACCCTCTACAAAAAAGAGAAATTGTGCGTTTCCCTCAAATTTCAGAACGAGTTTGCTGGGAAGGTCATACAGGAGTACGTGGGACTAAAGCCCAAACTGTACCGCCTTATTTGTTGCAGTACGCTGTTTTTAGTTTCCAACTACCAATTTAGAGAAGGGCAATGAAACAATTGGAAGAGTATGTGGTGACAGGGGAGGAAGAGATGTATTTATGTGGAAAATGGAAAGAAAACGGTTAAAAGTTTGAATTAAATCGGTTGTATTTTTGTTTAGAAAATGACAAAAAGAAGCGCCAATGGTGTCTCGACGTATTAAAACATGAGCTAGCCAATAATCAAAACAAACAAACTTTGGTTTACTGTTCTCTGGTCCGGTCAGAAAATAAGCGGATAAATTCCTGTAATATTAATTTAAAAACCATTAGAACGAACAAAATTTCCTTGAGCGAATCTGACAAAAAGAGCTATATGCATGCAGACAGAGTAACTACTAGTCTTTTCGGACATGAATGTTTGCGTGATGACATGTTCAAACGGTAAAATGCGCGCACCATGGACGGGGGGCGAATACGACGTAGCATGGTCACTCCCGCCGATTACGGAAGGGAGGATTTGGCTTAAGCTAAAGAAGAGCAGGGTGGATATAACGTGGATCTTTTTACACCGTCAGACATGGGGTTTAATCAAGCCTTACACACTGTTCAAGAACTAGAATAGAATAGGGCAGATTTCGACCAACTATGTGGGCAAAGCGATTCAGAATTAGCAGCGTACAATTGCCCTTATTATAATACAGAGGCTCGAAAAGAAAGCGAGCCGGAAGAAATAAAACCACCTAAACCGCGGTGCTTAAATGGACGTGCCAAAATAACAGACGATTCTGACTAAGTTCTGATTATAAATGGTTAGCTTCATAGTACTTTGCATTTAGGAAAAAAGCTTTTCAAAATTGTTCTTTTGACTGAAAAGTAAAATAATCAACTCTAACCGTGAGGAGGTAATCATAACAAAATTATGAACTTACCAATATCCCAGCATTTATTAAAGCTTAAAAATTAATCCACAAAACAACGGGCGCGGTGAAATTTGAATTGTCGAAGTCAAGGGAAAACTTGTACCAACCAAAACCTAATTCCATACCCAATTTTATAGAGTGCCCTAAAAATGACCAATTTCAACCCCCTTTGAAAATTGTTTGCCTGAAAAGTTAGGGGATTTAACGCCCTCGAGGGTTAAAAATGGTCATTGCAACGGTACTCCGAAAATGAGGGGGGTTTTAAACTACTGCAGGTTATGAATGACGGGAAACAATTGCCAGCAAGGCCGGACTCAGTATATTCCTTTTTTAGATGTTACAAGAGTTTCGGCATGGTGCAGTTAGATGCTATAATGATCATATTTCTTCTTCTCGGATTGTTTTTTAACATTTGGCTGTCGTGGTAACTTTTTTTGTCTCTGCCCATGATGATCTTGTATATGAGTTAGCTTTATCCCCAGCTTGACCAAAAATGCTAATTATACAGTTTTCAGATGCTAAAGATAGACTTTTCTTGCAATTCCATTCCGGTCATTTAAACTTAAGTTTGAATTTTTAGTATAAAAACTTTTGCCCAACATTAACACTTTTTTCGCCTAATATAGTTTTCGCCTATTGTTTATATCCTGCCCATGTACTAGTACCTTTTTATTGGAGGAATTAGCTTAAGTAAGCGCCATGATGTTTGTTTGGTTGAGATGATTCTCACCTAATCAAATTAAAAAGGGCTTTTACTGAAAAGAAATATGAAAAAAACTTTACCAGAAATTGTTTTAAGACATCGCGGCAAGGGGTCAATGCGCTCGAATATGTTACGTTTTTGTTCACAAGGTTGCTCGCTCTCCATGATGAAATTGCGTGTTGCGTTGGTTGTTCAGATCAACAACATGCCCAGTTCATTCTTGGGCGGACATTCTACCCGCGGGGGTAGTGTTAGTGGAGAGCATGGGGATGGGGGAGAGGATGCTGGCAATTTTCAGCACAGTACATTCCAGTGCACCGTGGCCAACTCGGTGGGCCAGCTGACGAAACTTTTCCGCATGTATCGACTGAACAGGCCGGGGGAGGCGTTCTTCCGTAGCAAATTCTTAGACATCACCCCAACCAGCGCCCGTGTCCGTGTTCAACTACCCATAATCGAGGATGCGAAGGAGGAGATGACAGAGTACCTGTTCCAGATAGATGAGGCCGGGCAACTGGATCAAAAGCCGGAGTTAAGGCCGATTGTACCTGTAAACTACAACGGTTAGTGCTTGCTGCTCATTTCTAAAATACTTCACTTCATCCGTGGCAAGGAATTAGATATGGCTCAGAACCTACAGATCCTAATCTTAGAAGAACAAGTCTAAATGCTCCTCATCTCTGATATCATGCACTCCCACGTGATGCTTCTCTAATGCACCTTTTTATTTTGATGTCAAGCGGATCGAGATCACAGAACTGAGTCGCTTCAACCTTTGATGTCTCTCATTTATTTTGCAATAAGCTATTATATTAAAATGTAACGGTTTTAACTTTTGTAGAAAGCGGTTTAACTTTTTTTAACGGTTTAAAAGCAAGACTATTTCTGGCCCCCAGTAATTCATCACCTAAACCTTTTTTTGGCATAGCCTTCTCGAAACTGTCATGATTTCAAACTAACCTTGATTTCAAACAAACATCATTTCAAAATCATTCTCCCCTTTCAGATCTATTCACGTGATATAAGAGGACAATACAGGGGCAGATTTAGAGGGGGGACGCTTCGCCCCCTCATTGATTTGACCCCCTGCCGACCAAACGGATCCCCGTTTGTACTATATTGAAATACACATTTTTGGCAATGTTAAAAAATTAAGGTAAAACCGTCTGTTGGTTAAAGTTGGTTAAACTTAAACTAAGACTAGTTTAAGACTGATTGGGTTAACATTCCTGCAATTTAGTTGTAGGCTTTTATCTAAGACTAAATAAAAGACTAAGGTAATTAAGCTAAGTTAAGAGATGGTAAAAATGTTGAATTAAGAGTTAGTTTCACAGGATTAGTTACGTATCAAATTGACAATGAACAATCTCTAGGTCTACCAAAAGCCGTTGCGCTTTTGGCAGGTATTTTTAAATTAGCATGGTCATAGGTCAAAACTTAAAATAACTCAGAGGTTATAGTGTCGACATAAAACATAAAATTTGACATTCCCCGCGAAAATTTAACTATAACATATACTTTCCCCACACAAAAGGAATGTTCAGACTCAGAGATGGATAAGCGGGTACACTGGTGGGGAAAAGCTCCACATTAGGGCCCAATGGGCGAGATGATAGCACCTGAATGGTTCGATCGTACGTTTATCCCGCGGTAGCACCCGATTGGTGAGATAATGGTTTGGCGGTAATTAATTGTGTTGTTAAATGACTCAGGTTAAAATTTAAAGTGGCTCAGAGATAAGCCAGTTGTAGCGTATAAGGCTAGCACTAGGGGAAACTTTTGAACTATAAATGCGTCAAAATGTTAAGCAAAATCGCATCAGAAAAAGTACTAAATTTAAAGAGTTACTGAATGAGAGATTTCCGAAAGTGTGAGTTTTAATGACAAGGTTAATAATCCTAAATAGGTCTAAACTGCGTCCCGGTTTGCTGCTCGATTGATCGTCCATCTTCTTAGTTCATCAAGCGTCATTGGCCGTCCTAAGAGCTCTAACGCCGAAAAGATAGAAGGGGTGTTTAGCCAGTCTGGATCGATTACAATTGGCGTAGATGTTGACTCAGTTGCTCCGAAGGGTATGCCCGAACCTCAGGGCTGAATTTAACCTTCTTGCGTAGTGTACTTTGTTTGGAGGTTAAGGGGAACTTTACACCGCTCGAATGTTCGAAACTTTCTTCTAATAAACAGACTGTCGTTGGATGCGATGTCTAGGGTGGTGTCAAGGTTGTTAGATCTACCACGTCTATTTGGTGGCTCTCCATTTCGATAGAGGTTGCCTCAATCGTTGGGTAATATGAGGGGGTGTGAATTCGATGGGGTGTTGATTCATCTAGATTCTCGTCTGATATGTCTACTACGCTGGTAAACACTTTCTCATCCAGCATCGTTGGAGGCTGTCTAGCTCGCATGGGTCTAGTGTTGTGTCGTGCATAGATATCGGACAAATTCTGGGAAGGTGGTGATTTCAACGGTGATGAGGCTTTTCTCTTTGCTGTGCCAGACAATTTTGCTTTTGTCTTGGTAGAAGCAGGGTCTAGTTGCTGTTTCTCCGTTCCCGCCTTTGTACCCTAAAAATTTTCTTAAGGCACCTTCGGCGCCAATAAATTTTATTTTGAGGGGTAGCCCTAAAGAAAAAAGGTCGACAAAAATTTCGAAAACTTTTTGAAGCCAGAACCACCCCCCAACCCTCGAGAAAATACTAGATCTGCCACTTGGACAAGATATCACCAAAATATGGTTTATAACTTGTATCTTATGCGAAAAGTACAAGTTTATAAGTTTATGAAACGTAATCCGTAGCAACTGCACCAAAAAAGAAATGAGATAACGTGCAGAATTGATAACGTTAAAAGTCAAAGTTTATAAATTTATGAAAATAAATTCATAGCAACTTCACCAAACAGGAAATAACATAATGTGCAAAATTTATAAAGATCATCGATAACCTCTCAAAAAATCCTTTTTATTAATTTATCAAGTATTAAATTGATATAAAAAATATTGGGATTAAAACCAAGTTTAATAGATTAATTACTTGAGTATTTGGGATGCATAACCCAGCAAGCAGTTTTTGGGACCATAGTTTTAGAAAACCAACACCAAATATATTTGGGATACATATGCATTGGGACCATAATTTTAGAAACACAACAACCAATGTATTCATTGCTGGGAGTTCGTGGGTTGAGAGTTTTAGAAACACAACGCACATAATATAATTGTATGTATTTGGAACTCCATCAGTCCCAAAAACCAACCTAGTTGTTGGAGAGTGAAGTAAAATCAAGAAAACAGTATTTTAGATGAGATGATAGAGTAAATTCAAAGCAAGAGTGCAGTATTTGAAATGATTTGAGAGTTTACCATAGGATTGACTATGAAAAAGTGTCCCTCGGAAAAGCAATTTTGATAAACAGGTCCAGCATTCGTATAGCACGTAAAGTTTTGATAACTAGTTTGTGTATAAAGTAGTAATTTCAAAAATCTTACAAAAAACAATGAGTCAGTAATCTTTCACATAAGAAGTTTTATTTATATAATGTAAATATCCGAACAAAAATTGCAAAATGTGCAAAGTTTGCAAAATTCTTCAAGAACCTCTCAAAAAATTCCTTTTAATCAAATATCATGGGTTCAATTGAGATAAAAAATGTTAGGATTATAATGAATTTCCAATAGTTTTAAAATAACAATCATTACGAGGTCAATCTGTGCACTGGATAGACGCACATTTTTGTGTCCGTCTGTTTTTCGATTCCGGAGACATCTTTTTTCATTTTTCAAAATAACGAATTCTATCATACAATTTTTTGTGATTACCACCTTCAGATACCTGTAACAAAAATTTTGTCGACAATTCTATTGTGGCGTGCACTCCGAAACAACCAAAAATAGCTTGCTGTTCTAGATTCCGCAACTGTTAGTGGATTCTGCAAAATATAAATGGAATTCGCAAAAGTGAGTCAATTCGCATAAATTGCAAGCGGAAACCGCAAGCTGTGAGTGGATTCCGGTTTTAGTTTATCACTGAAGTTGCATATGATTAATTAAAGGTAGAGCTGGATTTCTCTTCTATAGCAATGAAGTATTTAAAAGCAAGGATTTAACCATTGGCAGCGGAATCCACGAACAAACCTTAAAATATTGGTTAGCTAAAACTGTGGATGTCACCCTTAAGTATGTGGGATACATATCCAAGTAAGCATTTTGGGACCATAGTTTAAGATACACAACACCAAATAAATTCATTACTTGGAGTTGAGGGATTGAGAGTGTTTGGAAACACAACGCACATCTTATACATATATATTTATGCTGTGCGTTGGACGAGGGCTATACTTATGCCGTGCTTATGCTGTGCGTGATTCTGAAAAAGGTTAGTGTTTTGGATGAGATGATAGAGTGAGTTCAAATCAAGAGGGCAGTAATTGAAATGAGTTGAGAGTTTACCCTAGGAATTACTATGAAAAACTCTCCCTCGGAAAAGCAATTATGATAAACAGGTCCAGCATTCGTATAGCGCTTAAGTTTTAGTTTACTTGTTTGTGTATAAAATTGTAATTTCAAAAAAGTTGCAAAATAAAATGATTCAGAATTTTTTCAGAAAAGAAATTGAGCTTAGTATAATGTTTATTTCTGAACAAAATTTACAAGTTGTGCAAAAATTGAAAATATTACCAAAAATTTCTCCAAAATCTATTAGTATCAAATATCACGGGTTAAATTGATATACTTTTTTTAAGGATTAGAACCCTTTTCAATAGATTGAAAACTGACCTTAAAAAGACAATCATTACTGGGCCAAACTATGCACTGGATAGGCGCACGCTTTTGTGTCTGTATGTTCATCGATTCCAGAGACAAACTTTTATACGCGTTTCAAAATAACAAATTCGAACGTCATTGTTTCTGTGAATACAGCGTACAGATACCTGTAACGTAAATTTTGTCGACATATTTGTTATGGCGTGGATTCTGAAACAAGCCAAAATAGCTAGTTGTTCTGGATTCCAAACTGAAAGTGGGTTCTGCATATTGTAATTGGAAACCGCAAATGTGAGTCGAATCCGCATAATTTGCTAGCGGAATCCACAAACTGTGAGTGAATTCCGAATTTGATTTATCGCTGAACTTGCACATGCTTATTTAAAAGCTAGAACTGGAACTCTTTTCTATAGCAAGGCGGAATTAAAAAGCAAGATTTTAACCATTGTCAGCTGAATCCACGAACAAACCTTATAACATTGATTGAATAACACAGTGAAAGTCAACCATTAAGATTTGGGATACATATCCCAAGAAGATGTTTTTGGGACCATGGTTTTAAAAACACAACACCAAATGTATTCATTACTTAGAGTTAGGGTTTGAGAGTGTTTGGAAACACAACGCACATTATATACAGAATAATATTTATGCTGTGGGTTGGACGAGTGCTATACGCAAACCGTCCTTATGCTGTGTGTGACGCTGAAATATATCAGTATTTGGGGATTCCATGAGTCGCAATTACCGATCCAGTTGTATGAGAGTGAAGTGAAATCAAGAAGGCAGTAATTTGGATGAGATGATAGAGTGAAATCAAAGCAAGAGTGCAGTACTTGAAATGATTTGAGAGTTTACCCTAGGAACTACTATGAAAAAATGGTCCCTCGAAAAGCAATTATGGTAAACAGGTTCCGCATTCGTATAGTACTTCAAATTTTAATAATTAGTTTGTGTATAAAATAGTAATTTCAAAAATCTTGCTAACTATAATGTGTCAGAAAATTTTCAGTTATGAAATTGTAATTAAAATAATGTTTATAGCTGAACTTACTTGTGACCACCTTGTAAATAAAAAATCCGAATCAAAATGCTACTACATATATGCAAATATGTACAAACGAAAATGGATTCCACCTACCATTTGCGGAATCCACTTACAATTTGCGGATTCCGCTTACATTTTGGTGATACCGCAACAGCTTATTTTAAGTATACACTTGTCTCAGTATGTTTTTTTTGAATTCCACAAACTGATCCGCATTCCGTAAACGCTGTTGCGGATTTCGCAAATTCACCTTTTTGGGAGCAATTTTGCGCGCCATAAGGTTTGTAAAAAAAGAATTGTGAAAGGGGAGATATGATTCATAAAAAAATTCTGTTTTGAAAATTGCCTCTCACAACTTAGAAAGCTAAGTTGGAACTGTTTTTATTGTGTGATACTTGTTATGTTGATGATTTCAGAGATGACAAGAATAGCGGAATTCGAGATAACTGGTCTTCACTTCAGCAGTGAGTACATAGTGTCTGTGGCAGCAGTTAACAGAGGAGGCACCGGACCCTTCGTACAAGCCCCTGAGCCGCTGCAGACTGCTGATGACAGGGTGCCCTACCAGCCGACAGTGGATGTGGTTCATACTGGCTCCACAAACCACACCTTCAAGTACACAGTCGTCAACAATGGAGGACATCCCATACTCACATATACACTAACCTACTTCTGCCGCCAAAGCTACAATATGCAAGTGAGTCACTCATAAAATAGTCCCGGGTTAGAAGAGTAAAATTATCAAAAACCTATATAAGTATCATTGAACATCTAAACAATCATGACAGTAGCACTGAAACTTTGGAAGCATAAGTAACGAAATCAGCTTCAAGCCTGCGTCTCAATCGTGCAATTCAAAAAAATCTGATATCATGAAAAATTGATTGAGGGAGGCTTGGAGCGGCGTTTATGGAGCACGATACTGAGTTGTTTTCGAAATAGGAAAAATATACAACAAAATTTGTTCAGATAAACAATAGATTAAAGCGGAGTGTTTATTAACTAATCTGAGGTTCATGATAACAGATCTTGTGTTCGTAGTAAACTGATTAGCTGTAATATTTTCTATATCCACAATCGGGTGCACCGCAGGGATAACCTAAAAATTTAAGCCTACTTTAGTTATCAAAGTTACTGGGGTATCGACCCCTTGACCTCAAGTGTCCCAATCTTGAGTGTATCCACTAAATCACACTGTTTAAAGAAACCTATATTTAAGTTATTTTGTATTATTTAGACTGTAACACTTTTCTAATACAAACAAGTCAAACGTCAAATACTTTGGTTCAAAAACAATAAGCGGGTAGAAGACCTAATGATTGAAAAAAATTTTCCAGCTTGATAGGCCTTTGAAGCGTTTTGTATTGTTTTCAGCTGTGTTCTTGTAGGAGGTTCTTGTAGGAGGTTGAGTGGTATAAACATTTATCGATCTTGTGATACAAACTCAAGTAGCTGCTATATATGTAGTTTCCAAACCGCTAGAACTGTATCTTTGAAAAGATCCTCAAAAAACCATTATACTTTTGAAAACAAAATTTTTCACACTTTTTCTGAAATGAAAACTTGAGCATAAGAAGAAGCGGCTTCAATATTATAATGAAGTACATCAGTTCATCATATTGATTCAAAGGCTTCTTCTACTTATATATTACCTTATACGCAATTTACGTTTAATTCCTCTTTGAAATGCTAGTTGAAACGTATATTGTTGCATTACGTTTGAAAACAATTTTTGAGTCTAATTTTTCTGTATTTTTTTGAAAAAAGTCTTCAGAAACCATTATACTTTTGAGAACAAAGTATTACATTTTTTGTGAAAAGAAAATGTGTGCAATTGAAGAAGCGACTGCAAAAATATAATACAAAACACCAATTCGCCATAATGAAACAAAGGTAATTTCTAGGTAAATAATGACGCAATTTACGTTTAATTGTTCTTTGAAAAATTATTTTATCAGTATATTGTTGCTTTACATTTGAAAGCATTTTTTGAGTCTAATTTGAAGCCCGAAAATATGCAACAAGGATCCCCAAAAAATTTTAGTTAAATCAAAGCTGATTTAGATTTGTATTGTTTTTTTTTCGGCAATCTGGAATTGAATAACAAGCTTTGTGTCATATTTTTCATTCTGAATATTACTTGAAATGAACATACTCAACTTTTCGCTAAATATATGACAAGAAACTTTTTCATGCTATGAAACCATATGATATGCCCTTTTTCTTTAAAACGGAAATGTGTTTCTGATTTTCTTTCTGATTTTTTGCAGCATGTCCAAAACACACTAAGTAATGGTTTTCTACATAAGTCAAATCACAGAGTAGGTGGCAGCTAAACTCAGAGTGTAGGTGGCAGCTAAACTGCTTGTGGTGTTTTGACCATGTGAACTGTTGTTAAGATTTCATACACTGTTATAATCAAAAAACAAAACTTTTTGTATGTATGCTTAAAACTTTTTACTTTAAAACCTTTAGTGGTTAAGAAAACAGACCTGTTTTTTTAGGTTTATCTTGGCATATGAAAAATGAAAACAATAATTATGGTTGAACAATACTAGATTGTGATTTTCCGATTTTTTTGGTGAAAAATCGACTTAACTATAATATAGACACAAAATACTGAAATTTGCGTAAATTTTTTTTCTGAAATTGAACATTTGCGCAAAAAAGCAAGTTTGCATTTGAAAAACGAGATACAAATTTCTCTACCTCCAAAGTGCGTTTTTATTCTATGGACAAAATGCATATCATACATTTTCCATAAATGAACTCGTTAGATGAACAAATCTTTTGTTCATTTTTTTGACGAAGAAGTTGCTCCCATGTAATCAAAACTGCCACTAATTTGTTTTGTTTAGAAAGAATTCTGGTTCCAAAATAATTGGTTTCAAAATTTTTCGAAAAAAAAAATTGATCGAGAAAATGCTTATCATACAGTTTTTATCCTATCCAAATTGTATGATAAGCGGTTTTTCCTTAGACTCCATATATGAAATTGCATGACAGATATTCTTCTTGTATGGCCGTTAACCCGAGAAACTGAAATTTATTGATTGTTTTTGACGCGTTTTTCTTGAATTGAGATGAAAGCAGACAACAAAAGTCTCTTAACAGTTCACTAAATTATCATGAGGCAATTTGTTTTTAAAAAAAGCAATCAATATTTTACCTCAAAAATAGGTTCTCTGGCATTTTTGGATATTCGAGAATTTCACGCAAACTATGGGTTAAGTGATGAAATATCAAAAGAAGCCTCTGACACAGCTCTATAAAAAAGTTTTTTTTGCTCGCCAGTTTTTCAGAAAGACTTAAATTTCCAAAAATCCGAATAAGAGATTATACTTTTGCTTGATAGCCAAACAAAAAGGTCAATTTTACAACATGAAACTCAAAATGGTTACTTAACAACAATTTTCAAACGCTTTTACCCCTCCAAAATTTTTTATGTCGTTTGAGAAGTTTATTTGATTTATATTTCTCATCAATTGGCTTAGTTGTTTAAGCTTTTTTTTAACTAACTGAAAAAGCCAAAAACACCAAGTTTTAGGATAGAACTTTGGTTGCTAATTTCGCAAAACCAGTTGCATCAAGTCAATTCTGGTGCAAATCTAAGCTACATTTGTCCCGTTCAATTTTTGTTCAACCCTAACCCTTTTTTAGAAAGAACGCGTTTGAAGTTTCATAATTATTCGTTTTGTCCGGATAAGTTAGGTCAGATTGGTACGTCCAAACAAGTTAACTCAAATTAAATTTGCAAATATTTTGTCCTGCATAAGAGCAGTCAAGTCTCTAAAACGGTTTTAATCTGCAACTTTTTATTCATTTTTTTTTTCAGTTGAATCATATTTTGTTCCAGAAAACAAAAAAACCCGGAATATTTTTTTTGTTTGTTATTATCAGTGAGAAACCGAATTTTAAATTTTTTAGGGAAAGTTATAAGATAGATTTTTTTTACAATTCTTATAAGAAAATCACAGATACGGTAATTTTTTTCTACGCTGGTCAACCAGGGACTCTAAGATGATAAACAAGTTATGGAACAGTGAGTGTTTGGAACATAAATTCAATTAAACAAAGGTAGCAAATTGATAAAAAGTCATATATGTTTCATTACGAGGCCAAACTGTCCATTTTGTGAATTCTGGTCGAATATTGCAAAAGTACAAATCAGATTTGTCGCGGAATCCACAATATTGCTAGTTTTTTTATCTTCGTTTTTTTTGGATTGCACTAGTAAATAGCTAACACATTTCGGGAGTTGGCGGACCCCGCAACACTATTTGCGGAATCCGGAATTTTTTGGGAAAATGTTCCAAAAATAGCCGAATGTGCGGAATCCGCGACAGTTTTGCCAAAACTGAAACAATTCGGATTTCACGACTTTTTACAAATACGTGTTGAAATTATATTTTTAAACTGAATATATTTGTGGGTCATCAGCAAGACTGTCCAACAGTTCAGTCTCATTCACTGCCCACAGTTTGAACTCGCCACCTAAAGCTCAATTACCTGAAGAATGAACAAATTCCCGGTTTTAAAAACCTGAAAGAGGGGACACTTTTCCGATTTCATTACTTAAAGAATGAAAAATTTTGCCGAAACTGAAACAATCCGGATTTCACGACTATTTACAGATACGTGTTGAAATTTTTTTTTTAAACTGAATATATTTGTGGGTCATCAGCAAGATTGTCCAACAGTTCAGTCTCATTCACTGCCCACAGTTTGAACTTCGCCATCTAAAGCTCAATTACCTGAAGAATGAAGATTTTACCGGTTTCAAAAATTGAAAGAGGGAACACCTTTCCGATTTCAATACTGAAAGAATGAAAAAAAAAAACTGAGGTAACTTTATTTATTCCAAACAATTAAAGAGCTGTTGAAAAACGATTTCAGATTCGTTATGGGATTCCAATATGATTTTTTAAAATCATGCTCTTACATTCCGCATTTGCTAGATAAAAGTTCTTGCTATAGCTCTCAACTGATCACACAAGGACTATTTGAGTCCAGTATGATAAACAAAACACCCTTTACTTATATTTGTGGAATCTGTTTACGTTTGCTGAATTCACTAACGTTTTACGAAACTCGCTTACATATGCAAAATCCAGAACAATTCGCTATATTCGCTCGTTTCTGAATACTCGAAAAAACTAAAAAGCCGACATTATTTACGTTAAAGTTATTTGAAACCAGAAATTTGGAATCCACGAGAATTCCAGTGAAATTTCGTATGTGAAATCTATTAACATTTTGGAACATGTTTAAGGACTTGTCTTTAGAACATTCGGACATCAATTTGGACGCCTATCCAGTGCACCGTTTTTTTTTTCTGGTAATATTGATTGTTTTTTCATTATTACCACGAAGACTACCATGGTAAGTTTTTATTGCTCCTTCATAAAGTCTCCAAATGAAGTCGACATTTTTAAACACTCATCAATCATCAACTGAACAATCTAGGTTTGATAAATGCGAATGATAAATTCAATATCCGTTCTAAGCAAGAAACACAAAAGTTAACCTGCCGCTTTGATTTTCAGATGAATTAAGAAAAAAAAACAGCCTAAAAATAACAAGCTGAGTGCAGTAACAAAATGAGTTTTTTCATTCAACCTAATTTTACAAAAAAATAACACCGTATGGGTATCGATCAGGAAATCTTGTACACCCAAGTACCTTTGCACAAAAAAA